TGATGGCTGTAGTTTCCCCTGTGGCTGTGAGAACAAAATGAGGTGAGAGAGGGTGAAGAAAATGGCAGGCAGGTGTGCTGAGAGTTTGTGAGAGTGAGTTGGATTTCCACTGTGAAATCTTTTCTTGTGAGAGTCATTGTCCTCCATATTTCTGAAAGCAGAGATAATTATTTCTAGGAACTCCTGAGCCACTGTGAGAAGCAAAATAGCAAACCCATTTGTGTGTGGTACATTTTCTCTTTGATTTTTATTTTATTGTAAGTTTTTGAGACACTGTGTTGTTACAGTGCCCAGGTGGTCTTGAACTCATAGGTTCAAGGGATCCTCCTGCCTCAGCCTTTTCTGTGTCTCTTTGAATTGTACTCTATTTTGCAAGATGTGGTTCCAAGATAACCCATCTCCTGTGGGTCATTGACTCAGCAGAAACAAATCATATTTTTAAGACCACTGAAAATCAAGCTAGAATTCTCTATTTTACTCTAAATCATCAATGTACTATTCTCAGCCCTACAATGAATAGTCAAATTGCCTGATAATCATTAGTAGTAATAGCACAATAATATATTTTAAATTTCAAATTTCTTGTTATTTTATTTTTGGAGCGACACATAAATTGTTTGAACTGCATGTTTCTATGTTTCAGTAAACATCAGTATTTCTCCTTTGAAAAATTATTTTTATTGATACATTTTATTTATTTATTTATTTATTTATTTATTTATTTATTTTTTGTGGAACCGGGGATTGAACTCAGGCCCTTGCACTTGCCAGGCAAGTGCTTATTCCACTGAGTCATCCTCCCGGCCTATTGATACATTTTAGATACCCATAATGATCACATTCATCAAGGGAATTTGCATCTGTACATAGTATACCTTGATTCTTTTTTCCCCAGTCCCCTTCTTCTCTTCAAGATTAGTGTTTCTTTTTTTTTTTTTTAATTTTTTTTTATTTTTATTTTTATTTATTTGAGAGAGAGAGAGAGAGAGAGAGAGAGAGAGAGAGAGAGTGGCCAGCTCAGCCCACCAGGGGGCAGGGCTGGCTGGCATGTGGTGCTGGGGGACCGAACCGCGGTCCCTGATGCCTTGCCAAGCCTGTTCCAAACAGGTGCTTTTAGACCACTGAGCCATCTCTCCAGCCCAAGATTAGTGTTTCTTAAATATAGTTCACTTGCATACAAATTTTCATCATATTTGATGTAGAACAGATCTCCTATATTTGATTTTTTTCTGAAATCAATTTATTATTGTTATTTTTATTACTATTATTATTTTCATAGTATAGTGGCCCTTACACTGAGCTATGTTCCTGGTCATTTTATTTTTTTATTTTGAGACAGGGACCTACTATGTTGCTAAGTTGCCCAAGCTGAGCTTGAACTTGTGATCCGCCTGCCTCAGCTTCCCCAAGAGCTAAGATTAAAAGGAATATGATATCACCTGACTTCAGCATATTTTTAAAAACCTTAAATAACTATCATTAGGAAGATGATTTTTAGGCCAGAAAGATAGTATAGGGGGCTAAGTGCCTGCTTAGGCAAGCACAGGGACTGGAATTTGATCCCTGGAACCACATGCTGCACTGGCCCTGTCCCTGGGGTGCACTGAGCAGGCCACAGAGAACGGGCGTGGTAGTGCACATCCGTAGTCTCAGCACTGGGGAGGCTGAAAACAGGAGGATCACTACAAGTCTGAGCTGCATTTTGAGATCCTGTACCAAATACATTAAGAAAAAAAAAAAAAAAGATGATCTTTAGATAATGTAATGTAATTGAGGTTGGCATCATGTGCTCTTTTCTTTTTTTAAAGCATATTTGGTTGTTGCAGGATCTCACTACTCAGCTCAAATTTGTGGTGATCCTCTTGCTTTCAGCCTCCCCAGCACTGAAATTACAGGCATGTACCACCAGCCCAGACTCTGGCTGGCTCAACCTGCCCTGGAGGCGAGGCTGGCACTGCATGTGGTCCCTGTGCTTGCCTAACCTTGCCTAAGCAGGCACTTTAGTCCACTGAACTATCTCACAGGCCCCATGTGCTCTTGACTGGACTCATCCTGGAACTTTGGAGGGACAGGTTTTCTGATATTTTGACATAGTTGTCCTTGCTCTCTGGGTTTTGGATTCTTGCCCAGCAGCTTTCTGCTATTTCCTTGTCTTACCGCCCATCATAGGTCTCATATGTGCTGCTCTCCTTCAGAACCTGAAGAAAGCCGGTTACTCCCTGCATCGATTCTTAACACCTCATTTAGCACCCACTGATGTCTCCCAAAGGCTCGAGAGAGCCTTTCCAGTGTGGTGATGACAAGTGAACCTGACAGGTGGGCACATGGCTGACGTGCTGCGGCCCATATCTGGGGGGGTGGAGTCTGGCTCACAGTAGGCCTGTGAGGGCAGGGCAGCATCCCCAGCCAGGTATTTTGTGCCTGATTTCTTTGTGTCTGTCCAGGCATAGTGGCTACCCAGGATCCATGGTGCCATGCAGAATGGGCTGCTCTTATGATTTATGTCTAGATGTCCCCAGAGAGGCTCATGTGCCCATAAGCAGGGCTTCGGGAAGGGAATTAGACCAAGGAGGTACTGTCTCTGACTTGCTGTTAGGAGGTGGGGCTTGACCTAGAAGGGTGGTGCTCCCTTCAAGGTGCCTTGCTTCACTCTCTGCTTCCTGACTGCTAGGAGGTGCACAGCTTTCCTCTGACCAGGCCCTTGCACCGTGCCGCTGACCAGGCAAGAACTGAAACTTCTAAAATGTGAGCCAAGACCTCTTCTCCTTTAAATTGAAGATCTTAGGTATTGCGGCCCAGTGATAAAGAAAGTGACTGAGGCAGTGCTCCATTGTGGTTGTTAGACTGCTTTGCCAGTGGAAACCCTAAGGTTCATAACTCTTCTCTTTTGGAAAGCATATTGCATGCACCCTCCTTCCGTGCCCTTCCCTTCCTTTCCCTTCCTCCCTCCTTCCCTTCCTCCCTTCCTCCTTCCCTTCCTCCCTGCCTCTCTCCCTCCCTATATTTTTTTATTCTGTAGCCCCAAGCCCAACACTTGTTTCTTCCCCCCTTTGTGGCCCTGTCACTATCCATGCCAAGAGGCTGTTTCTCAATAGCATGGGCAGTCTGGCTATCATGTGGCACACACAGGTCCCCAAAGCCACAGTTGTCCAGCACCTGTAGCAATACCCTCCCATCTGGTGGCATCCATGCCTGTCTATGTTGATCCTTTTCCCCAGGAGAGGTCCTTAGGCCTGGAAGGACAAGCAGGTTCCCATCATGTGCCAACCCCAAATATACATGCTTGGAGCCTGGGCTGAGGGCTATGAGGCCTAAGGCTTTGTCTAGCTGTCATGACTAAAAATTCTGTGATTGACCAGCAATGTCTGTCTACTGCCATACCACCCTCAATGTGTCGGATCTGGTTTGATTAGCAGTGTCTGCCATGGCAAACATATAAGCACTATAGGAAGTGCCTGCACTCTGTACCCTTTCCATCCTTGCCTAAGATGTCTGTTCTGCTGTCCAGGCTGTGTGGTCTCATTGGCCAGGTGCCTGAGGAGGCAGGCTGAAGGCCACAGAGCTGTAAGTGGTTTCTCCAAAGCCTTGTTGGAGCAGTGTGAGTTCTGAGCGAGCGGCAGCCCACAGGGGTGGCCCTCGTGTGGTCTGGCGGGATGTGCACTTTGCATTCGCAAGGACTTTACCCCCTGGAGTCTATTTCATCCAGGCAAAAGTCGATAACTGCCTCAGCGTGCCAGGTGTAACTCAGGGTTAAAAAACTTTTTACCTGGCACTCACCCAGAAATGACCTAAACTCCTGGAAAAATCCAGAACTTTCCAAGTAGACTCAATAGGATTATCTTCTGTATGCTGCCAAGAAGCCAAAATTGAGCAAAAGGACAATCTTACTTTAACCAACGAGGGGATACAGTTTGAAAAACATGCTTTCAGCAGCAAGTACAAGAGTAGTTGGAAGAGGGATGCTTCTAGAAAATCTGGAAGGGCATGGACATGACCCCTGCTTTGCCTTCTGCTTCCACTGCTGGGGCCAGGATGTCACTTGGTGTAGCTGACTTTGGGGTCATCATGGTGCCCTGTGCATGTGTCCAGGGGCCTGCTGCATCCTCCCCCCTCTACTTGTGGGATTTGAATGTTCCTTTCATCTCAGCTTACTTCTTGGCTGCAGGGGAGTGTGGGTCCAACTGAGCAGAGAAAAGTATTCCCAGACAACTACCCTGCCAAGGCTGCCGAGTGCCCCTAAATCCCGTCCCCAGGCTCCTGCAGCCACAGCGTGCGTCTTGGCAGGCAGAAGGGTGTCTGCAGCCCTTCTACACTGCTTCCTAGCTTCCAGAGCCTGTGTGGTTGTGGAGCTGTGCCGAGCCATGCCATGTCATTTTCCTTTCATGCTCATGAACTCTGTGCTGTAGACAGGGGCAGGAAAAGACCCTTACAGGCAAAAAGCTTCAAAAGGAAAGGGAAGCTAGGTGTGTGACAACAGCCCCTTTCTCCACCTTTATCCTCCTGCAGTGGAAGCCTCCATGGCAAGAGCTGTGTTCTCTTCAAATCCCCAGCCTCTGGTGTAGTGACTCATGTTCATTGTACAGGAGAGGTTGCATTTTAGCTCTGCCTCAGTTTTCAAGGGAATCTGAGTTTGGGGTGGTGAATTCTGGGGCAGCCAACACGGGCTTACTCCACCCCATGCAAGGAGCTGTGGTGGGACTCACCTTCCCTGTCTGGCTGGTCCAGGCCATAGCCACCCTAGCCCGGTGACTTGTGGGCCGTGCCCTTGTTGCAGTTCCTGTAGGTCCTCCTTTTAGAGTGGACCGCAGGCAGGGTCCCAAAGAGCTAAAGCACCAGTGCATGTTCCTGTCCCAGAGAAGACCCTCTTCTCTCCATGTCCTCTGCTTCCTTCATCCATTTAACTCTGTGTGTGCATGAGCCTCTGAGCTTCACAGATGTATAGAAATAAGACAGGCTGGACTGCAGCCTCCCCAATTCCCATCACCCTCTTCTTCTTACAGGCTCTCCGTGTCATGCTGGCTCCACATCCATGAGCCCGTCGGCGGCTTTATCCACTGGGAAGCCTATGGATGGTCACTCCAGCTACACGAACACCCCAGTGAGTGTCCCACGGACGCTGAGTGCGGTTGGGACACCCCTCAATGCTCTGGGTTCTCCTTATCGAGTCATCACTTCTGCCATGGGCCCGCCCTCAGGGGCATTGGCAGCGCCTCCTGGAATGAATCTGGTTGCACCCCCTAGCTCTCAGGTAGGTGTTGCTCCTCTCCGGAATCCACTCAGCCACTTGCTGTGTGCTCGCTCATGGACCTCGTTGCAGACTGCCCTCCTGCAAGGCCTTCAGGCTGAGACTGTGAGCAAGGGCTTCCCTAGTGGTTTCAATGCTTGAGCCCTGGCTGTAATTTCCGCATCTCCCGGGGTGACTGTGTTGCCCATCTCCTTCACAATTTAGTAATGGGTACAATGATGCTTATTATGGCTCTTGTTAAAGGAAATACTGAAACAGTGCAGTGTCTTGTTCCCCACCAGCTTTCACCCCAGAGAGGAAATGGGCAGGTAAGGCCCATAGATAAATGCAGAGCCAGGCCACTCGTGCCATGCACATACTTTCTCTGAGACTCTAGGAGGTTGGGGACTTAACTTTACCTTAGCTCCCAGAGCCTGCTGCTGGATGGAGGGAAGGAGAGACATGCACAGTGCCTTGGGCAGCACCTCTGGAGCTTGTGGGATGGACAGATGTCCTTTTCCTCTTTCTAGGAAAGCCATTCTTCCCCTCTTGGAGAGGTTATACTGATAATGCTGCGATAAAATGATCCCCCACCCCCCCAAAAAAAATTACAAGATGTGCTTTGTGTATATACCAATTCCTTGTATAATTGAGATTATTATGCTTTACAAATGTATACCAATTAAAATAGCATTTGAAAGGTAGGTTTGAATTATATATGTTAAGAAATGACCCCCAAATCATCAAAGCTCACAAAAGCGAATCTTTATCTTTCCATTCACAGGTCTTTATTGGGCTAGGGTGGCTGTGCTCTGGTGGGGGTGGGGGTGGGCACTGGGCTGGGCTAGCACAAGTCTGCTCCTCACATCACACTAAAGGAGCAGCAGCTACTGGAGCACACTATTCTTGTGTCTCAGCAGAGCGCGAAAGGCCAAAGCAAACCTAAAAACATAATGAATCCTCTGCTCACATCATTGTCTAAGGAAACCCTATGACTGATTCCAGATGGATAGTACTGGGAAATAGGTGACCTCTCTTCTGGGGGAGGGACCACAGAGACAACACCCCCAGCACAGCCCAGGGCAGAATTGGTAGGCATTTTGATGATCAATTTGTCTGGGCCACAGGGTGCCCAGGTATTTGGTTAAGCACTATTCTAGCTGTTGTTGCGAGGGCGTTTGGGGATGAGATGGACATTGAAGTGGGCAGCCTGAGTAATGCAGACTGCCTACCTGGACATGGCTGGGCAGCAGCCCATCAGCTAAAGGTCAGAATAGAACTCAGGGGCCGATCCTTGGGTAGGCAACAGACAGCTCTCCTGCCTCAGGGCCTGTGGCCTGGGAAGTCATTTCCCCCCAAGCCTTTTGAACTAAAATAAAGGCTTTCTAGGTCTGGAGCCTGCTGGCCTTCAGACTATAACAATGGCAGTCTTGAGGCTCCGTTTTCCAACTCCCTCTGCTGAGCTTGAGACTTCTTAGCCTTCAAAATCATGGTGCTAATTCCTTATAATCCCTTCCCCAAGGAGTACTATGTGGGAGGTGGCACCTCATGCCAGATAAATGGCATGCAGCATCGTTATGTGTTGTCACAGGTGTAGGAGGAGAGCCCAAGAGAAGCAAAGCAGGACCTATGAACTCCTGATCTCCTGATTTTATTTGTTCTACCCTTTGGGAGAATAAGGCCACACTGAGACATGCAGACTGGGCAGCCTTCAGAATGGGTGCAGTTTGCTTTCCGTCTTTCCTGTGAACGACTCCAGGGAGCAGAGTCAAGGCCAGCAGTGAGAAACAGAAAGATACACTACTGCCCTTCTGGAAAGTGTGGTTTTGCAGAGGGGTCTGGCATTTGTGTAAATAACTATGTCCACCTATTATGAATTGGTTTGCCTGACACTGTCCTGAATTTGGGGAACAAACACTGAATAAGGTAGCTAACGTCTTTACTCTTGTAGAAGCTGAAACAGACAAAAACCTAAAGAATAAACAAGATACTTTCAAAGAGCAGTGGTTCTGTCTATGAAGAAATAAAACAAGGTGAGGGGAGAGAGACAGGCCTGGCTGGTGGTAGGAAGTGAGCAAGCCACCATCCCCCCAGGCTGCTTTTAGCAACCGTGCCTGTGTCCGTCCTAATGAGCCAAGCCTGGCTGGTCAATTCATCTTCATGGCTGTGTGAGTGGCAGGGACGCTATTCCTGGACCATATGTCTGTACAGAGGGATCGGGGTTGAAAGGTCAGCTGAAAGCTTTGGTCTTGGCCAACTGGGCTGTGCGCAGAGGCTGAGGCCAAGTTCAGCTTTTGGGAGCTATATTAAGCTTGCCAAGTGCTGGCGAAGCTCAGCAGCCCCAGACACTGAACTGTGTTCTGGGCTTGGGCTCCCGAACCGCGCAGTAGCAGAACTTTGTCCAACTAAACGGACGGCCCAGGACAAAGGCCTGTGTTCGCTAGGGTGACTCGGGCTCTGAGGACTCAGGAGAGGCTACTCCTATGCAACATCCTGCCTTCCTTGTCCAGGGCTGGGCTTGAGCAGGACTGGTGACAGAAACATGCTTTTCCTGTGACCTGGTGAGTATGCTTTGGGGTGTGCAGAGGAGGGCACGCGGGGTGTGGGCAGCAGGCAGACCCTCCCACCCTGGGCCCTGGCACTAGGCTGCGGGAGCCTCTCCTTCTGCCCTTGTTGGGCTTTCAGTCTTGAAGAATCCGAACTGAGTTGGCTCTGCGGAGGCAGGGAACGTGTGACCTTTTGCAAACAACTTGAACTTGTTTCTGTTTAAGTGTCCTTTTCTCTATTGTGGGGTAATAAATACTTGCCCTGACTGCTGTAGGGCAATGCTTATGAACGTCAAAAGACGTGTGCATTTGAAAAGGCACTTCTCAAGGTGTATAAATCTCTATAGTACTCAGGTAGTATTGTTATTATTATTATTATTATTCACCTAGGCAGTCATTGATTTACTTGTGCTGTGTTACCAAAAGAATCCAGAGAAGTTCACTTCAATAGGTGTCACTGAGCCAGGCCCACTGCTAGGCACCTGGAGACACACACATGTGTTTTAGTTTCTACTCTGGGAAAGAGAAATTCCAAAAGCAACAAATATGTACATAGGAAGATTTTTTATACACTTTTAGATAAAATGATGTAGCCTAAGCTTTCACAATGTGTGTGCACACACGTATAACTGTGTTCGTCTGCTGGCCGGCCTCTGGTTGGGCCTCCTACCTCTCTCCCCACTGCTGGCTGAACTTGGGTTCTGTCCCTGCTGATTGCTGTGTAAGTATTTATAGATAACCAGACTAGTACCCTCTCAGATCTGCTTGCATCTGTATAGCTTATACTTAGATAATAAAAATTCTAAATGTTAGAGCTGGAAAAGACTTGAAATTAGCTAACCTGAGGATTAATAAATGAACAAAGCCATGAAGTTATTTCTTCAAAGGGAAACATATTTGGAAGCCCCGTATGCATATGTCAAATACAGGCAGGGTTGGTGGAACTGAACTTCAGCCTCTCCATTTTCAGGACACACACACACACACACACACACACACACACACACACACACACACACTTTAGGTTTGTGAACCATTGATTTAGCCTAGAGATGAGAAATAAGAAACCATAGTCTGTTAAGAGAAGAGACCTGGTCAAGGTCACAGAGCTAGAAGGAGCCAGCTTTAGACAGAACCCAGTTTGGAGCCCAGGCCTATGACTCCTTATGACAAAGACCCTAACTAGACTAAAGAAGTTGCTGTACCACTCTGTGTTCTGGAACAGGAGCACCCACCTACAGCTGGCCCTGGACAGAATCATTAGGGCTGAGGACAGCTAGAAATGTAGGCCTTGGTGTTCTGCGATGGCTCCAGAGGCATCCGGAGAGCGTTCGGTCCCAGAGGAGCCTGCACAAGGAGGATCTAGCAGCCGGTTGCTTCTATGCAGTTCTGGGGAGCAGCCGCCCTGCTGGCAGGTCAGACCACCTGGAGAGTCCGGGCTCTAAAGCGCTTATTTCAGCAGAGCTGCTGTTAATGGAACAAGACAGCCGCAGCTGGGGGCCTGCAGGGCCAGGCAGTTAATGACTGTCTTTGATCTCCTGTGCGGTTGCTCTGGACCCACACAAACCCCAAGCCGGACAATGAGATAGGCAGAGGACAGAATAGCAGCCCACTCATCTCAGCACACTGTCCCACTGCTGTCTGGACTCATGAAGCAGCAGTGTCCTGGACAGGGGCTTGCCCCAGATTAAGGAGAAGTTCCTGACCAGCAGCCCTGCTCCTCCTCCAGGGCTTCCTGAGTCAGGAGAGCAGCCAGGAAGTTGCCAGTGCAGAAAACTGAGGATCTCCTGCCAGCCAGGGTGACAATGTAGGCAGGGAGGGATGATGAGGAGGAGCCTGGGATTCCAGCTCCAACCATTACACCTGGCGAGGTACAGGTGCCTGAGCTACTACCTCGGCAGGTGCAATAGCCTTGGGTGTCTCCTTCCATCTTTCCCCATGCTGCTGCCTCCTGAACTTCATGGAGCAGTTTCAAGGGCCTTATTCCTCAAAACAGCGATGGCTCCTTATTGCCTCTCACACAAAATCTGTCCTCCCAGCATGCCACAGAGCCTCTGAGCTCTGCTGCAGCCCACCTCTCAGCCTTATCTATCAGCTGTTGGCTGGGTGTGTTTATTTCACAAATATCTGGGCTTGCTTGTAGGCCTTTGCTTTTAAAGTCTTTTTCCTACTATGGCCCATCTAACACCTACCCATTTTTTTTGTACCAGGAATCAAATCCAGGGCCTCTCATTTGCCAGGCAGATGCTGCACCCTGACCCACCCAGTTCTGAAAGCTATCCAGCCCAGATCAAATGCCACTTCCCTCAGGAAGCCCCCTCAGAGCTCAGCAGTACCTGACTTGTCCTTCCAAAACTGTCCCACTGCCCCAGTTCTTTGGGGAAGTGCTCCCTCACCTTCCTTTCTGTATCTTCTGAATGAACAAATGAGTAAACCAATTTAAGGCTCAGTGTCCCTTCTAGAAAAACATCTGGGGTT